AGTGCCGTAGCCTCCTCGCCTGACTTATCTGCATCTGCCTCAGGGAACGGTGTATGATAAGCTGCGAGGCGTTGAGAGCGGCCACAAATGCAGCGATGGTCGCAGCGTGCTCCATGCTCGCAGTGCTGTGGCGTCCGCGCTGTCACTGACTAGAAAAGTGCGTGAACTGATTTCCCGCCGGCGCTTTCAGGGAGGGAGGGCGGGAGTGATGGACAGATGACGACAGTTACCCAAAAGCACCCTGGACACATTTTTTTTACCCAGAAGGCTTTTGGGGCTACACCCAGAATTCCAATGGGCAGCGGGGACTGCGGGAACTGTGGGATAGCTGACCACAGTGCACCGCTTCGAATGTCGACGCTTTCACCGTTAGTGTGGACTCACAAAGTCGAATTACTGTCCTTAGTGTGGACACACACGTTCGACTTTGCAATATCGATTCCAAAAATTCGATTTAAGTAAAATCGAACTACTCTCGTAGTGTAGACATGGCCTGGGACAATTACACCCCAGAACAATATTAGCTTTTTAAGCAACTACATCGCATTATTGACTCATATTCAATTTGTGATCCACCATAGCTCCCCCCACACACAGACCCTTTTCAGCAGTAGTGCCACCTAGCCTGTTATTCCCATTTTGTAGCTGTGCATTTGAGGGATAGCTCAGTGGTTTGAGCATTGGCCTGCTAAACCCAGGGTTGTGAGTTCAAGCCTTGAGGGGGCCACTTAGGGATCTGGGGCAAAATCAGTACTTGGTCCTGCTAGTGAAGCCAGGGGGCTGGACTCGATGACCTATCAGGGTCCCTTCCAGCTCTATGAGATAGGTATATCTCCATATTAGCTGCCTGTCCATTTTGCGCTTGTCTTTATTAATTTTCATCTTGTTGATTTCAGATCAATTCTCCAATTTGTCAAAGTCATGTTGAATTGTAATCCTGTCCTCCCAGGTGCTTGCAATCCCCCCATCTGAAAATTTTATAAGCATACTCTCCACTCTATTATCCAAGACATTAATTGTGTGCTCACTCTGCCGTGCTCCAGAGAGTGATAATTTGAAGAGGGCCTATAAGAGTTAAGCCACCCACTTTACACTACCTGCACCTAACTCCCTTAGACTCTTTTGAAAACCCCTGCTGTATCCAAGCTAAGCAGGATACAGTCTGTTCACTATACCATCTACTCTTAAAGTTCAGTGGTAGCATAGATAGAAATATAAATTACATATTGGTTAGAGTGTCACTTCCAACAGGAAATTGTAAGAAGTTGTCAGTGACAGTATGAATGTGTGAGGGAACAAATTAATATCACGTTCTCCTAATGGTGGCTTTCCCTATTAAATCTCACCCACTCAATATGTAAATTACACAAGCTTACACTCACATAAAGGTATATAACTTACCACTTTAAGTCATCTCTGAATTTGACTGTGTCTTGGCTCCATAAGCCCATTATTTATCGTTATTATTTTAAAGCTTAATAGTGATCCTAACCAGTGACATAAATCTATGCTGTCATCTTGCAATTTAGTATGCAAATGTTCCAATCACAATTCAAATTATTTTATGTACCTTCATCTGTAATATTTAATTTTGGGTCTAAAATTATTAGAATTAAAAACTACAAAAATATTAATTGTGTAGTTTCCCATTCTTTTAAATAGCTTGAAATGTATGAAAAACATAAGTTCAGGAGGTAGCTTTTTAATAATATCATATAGCCCAAACAAATTATGCAAAAATAAAATTGGGCAAAAATATTTAAAACTAACTACGTAAAAATTACATTGTTTACTTAGTATAAAGTTAAGTAAGCTTATATAATATTGTACCTGCAAAAGTAGCCTTTCAAAGGCTAAGAAGCTGTCCCATTTGGCATTCTGGGGGTGTTTTAAAGCCTGGATTGTGGCCAGCACAAGCTGTAGAAGTCCACAGTGGTTCCTGAGAGCTTTGGAATTGTTTTTGAAAAGCTTAATGTATGAACTGAGCTGTTCTGGGGTGACTCTACCTGTTAAAAGAAAAACAGAGCATATTACCAACATTTCACAACAGTGAATAATCATAAATAGCTGAACAAACATTTTTAATGACGATGGATTATATTTATGCGATGCTTTTCATTCAGAAAATAAGTTTCACAGCTATGGGCCTGTTCCTGATTCCACTGCAATCAACGGGAGTTTTGCCCTGCGTGTTAACACTAGCAAGTTTGGACTGCATAGTTCTTTTCTACAGGAGTCACTTCATCCATGATTGAAGTGCAGTCATTTTAGATAAGGCACTTGGCTGATATTTAACAACATATAGCAATGCCAAAGAGCAATTTAAGACACAAAGTGAAAAGTAACTTCTCTCATTCAAACATATGGGGAAATTTAAGTAAGCTACCGAAATCACTCCAATACCTCTCCCGGACACTGGGCTAACACTTCTACTCTTGGGAAAATTACGGTGGGAATTTTAATGAGCACATGCAGAGGGCTCCTTAGTCTTACACCTTGTCCATAACACTGCACCGTCCAGCAGCACAGTGTCCCATGGCACCTGGCTAGGACAACATTTGGTTCAGTATTGACTCAGAGGAAGAGTACAACTTACTAAATCACCCATATCATTTCCTGAAACACATCACAGAAGAGAAACCTCCAAGGGATTTGACCGTTCTCAGCTTATGTGAGTTGAGGAGATCACTGAACAAGACAGTATGATTTCACCCATTGTTCATATATACATGCATTGTACACAGTACACAATCGTCTCCTTAATGTAAGAGAAGAGTGGGGAGATCTATAAGATCTGATCTACTCTAGGAGCATTACCCCTTGCTGATAACAGGTATCATCAATGTGCACAGCTGAATCATTCTGAACATGGGTCAACTGCAACGCGTAGACCAGGATACACCATGCTTGTACCATTTCATGGCATATTATTAGCAATGAGTAATTTTCCTAGTTCAGACCAGGCCTAAGAGTGGTTTGGAAGATCAAATTGGGAGAATACTTGGTATAGTATTGGTATTATAGTAATAGTTAGATAGAGCTCCACACCCTGGATCATGGTAGTTAGCTGAAATGAAAGTAAGGCTTTTCTGTTATTAAGTATTATTTATGTGATCTTGATTTTTTTTTTATAATTTATAATTTTCCTTAAGGAAAGGACCCTGGTGATGGCAACTGTATCTTTGTTTTCCTGTTTGGCCACTTCACCAGTTTACAGGGCCCCTCATCTCTTTTCTTCTCTCTAAGGTGTTGTTTACACTGCACAGTTTTGTCGGCAAAACAGTGGAGACAAAACAGTGGAGGCATACACACTACAATGTTACTTTTGTTGGCAAAACTCTCCTGTTTTTCCTGACCAAAAAACCCCACCACGCCGAGAGGCAAAATCTTTCAGCGACAAAGTTAAAGCGACAAACCGTCAATGTAGACGCTGCCATTTGTTATGTCGACATCACTGGCTTCCCCCAGTATCCCACAATGCCCGCCGTGACCACTCTGCTCATTATTTTGAACTTGGCTGCCCTGCATTCCAGCTACACAGGCACATGCCCCTCCCCTTTCAAAGCTTCGGGAAGTTCAGACAGCTGACCATACGGCAGCAACCAGCAAATCATTAACATGGAATCCTGCTCTCTCCAGCACTAGGAACACAGTGGCAGGTAGGCAGAGACTGCGTGTGTGGGTGTGTGCTTCCATCTGCTGTCTGAATTTAAAGAGTCAGCATGCTGACACACTTCTCCCCCCACACACACACTCCCTGTCATACACCTCCCCCCCCCCTCCATACACACTCATCCCCCACATTTCAGTTGAAAAGCACCTGGCAATATAGTAGGAGGCCTATGGAACTACAGGATTAAGAAACCTGCATCATGTGACGCTGAACCTGTCCCATGAAGCATTGTAACCCCTTCCCAAAGCTCCCTGTGTCCAGTTGCACAGCGGGATAGCTACCCACAGTGCACTGCTCTGTGTCAATGTAAGAGCTGCTAATGTGGATGCATTCTGCCAATACAAGGAGCATAGTGTAGACAGTGGTTTAATTAAAGCGGTTGCTGTATGTCGGCATAACTTTTGTTGACAAAACTCTGTAGTGCAGACCAGGTCAGATTTCTTCACAAAGATACAATCTTGAAAGGATTTCCTTTTACTCCCGGTGATTCTAAAGAGCAAGCACTGGAGATACAGTTCTCCAAATGTATCTTTAAAATATGGAAAGGCATTAAAACAAAAAAATACAAACTCTTTATAGGAAACTTAATTCAAAACATCAAGGCAAAAAGTCAGCAAATTAACACATTACTCATGCTGACAAGGCTTTAGTGGGATGAAGAGCTGACAAAAGACTTCTACAGTTAGTTCACATAGCTTAAAACAGCAACCTCAGCCATATGTGTTTTTAGACTAAACACTGGAACTTTTAGTTGTGTTTTATTTCTTTTAAAGCTTTGTCAGGCAGATTTAGATGGTGATTGGAAAATGTCACCCCATGATGCTTTGCAACATACCTTTGATAAAGAATACATTTTTACCTTTAGCAGACATGATATATAGTAGCTCATTCAAAATCTGATAACTTGCTACAATTGAGAAAACATGAAGCTGCAAGTCCTCCTCTCCTCCCCCCACAATATAGTCAAATATGGGGATCATCAAGACCTCTGATTTCAAGTTAGAAAACATAATTTAATCTCATTCTATTATTTATACTATTCTTTATACAAATTAATCCAGATTCATTATTGGGTCTGTTCCTTTGCGATCCATTCAGCATTTTTAATGTATAATATCTCTGTTAGCTCTAGAATAGTAAAAAGGGAAAGTTCCACAGCACATGAAATCGTAGGGTGAAATCCTGGCCCCATTAAGCCAATGGCAAGAGTTCCATTGAATTCAATGGAGCCGGGATTTCACCTGTAATATTTACAATTTCCATACATTTTTCTCTCTATCTGCCTAAAGTGTGTGTACACCCCTCTGACGACACACACACACCCCCTGCCGCTTCCCTTTCTGCTCCTTTTTGTCCATACTCAGCTCCAGAACACTGGACCTACGCAGAACTTCGCTGCTTTTTGAAGGGGTTCTGTATGGACACAGGCGTCTGACCACAAGGAACAAATTGCAGGATCAGGGCCTATATTAGGCTAGCAAAGTAGCTGCCTAATTCTAAAGTCCTCCTATATAACGGAGGTAGAGTCCATACTGTCTTTCTAAGGGATACAAATAAGTTAAGAATATCCTTTCTTGCACAAAAGTTAAAAACTAAGTAGAGATTAGGAAGTGAACTTTGACAAGGGATACAGGAGGAGGCAACCATTTATTTATGTTTGTAAAACAAACAAGCACTCATCTCAGACTCTGGCCGCCGCTACATTAAGATATTTATTATGAAAATTAATAGACCGGATTAAATCCCACTCCAGCAATAAATATACAAACATGCCCTAGTAAACATGGTAATAAATGAAAACGTCTCTGCAGAAGGCAAAATAACAAAGACAATACCTCCAAACCTCAGCCCACCCACTTCCCAAATGCCTGGGAAGAAAAAAAGGGGTTTTGCAATATGTCTGAAATGTTAACAGATCCGAGCTCTGGCAGAATGAGGGGAGTGAATTCCAGTCTGAGGACCCCTCTCAAAGAACATCTTAACAGCAATTTTGTTGTTTGGAGTGAAGGAGAATCAGCTCAAGAGCCTCTGCTGATCTCAGCTTTGGCTATATGTCCAAAGAAAATCTATTTCCCACAAAACTGGGCCCCAAAACTTTTAGGACCATGCAGGCTAAAACCAACATTTGAATTCCACCTGGAAATTACTGGGCATCAAATGAAGTTCCCAAAACTACAAGTTATACAAGCCTCATAGCCAAACAATAACTTCTGTTGAAATAATTTATTTTTTCCTTTATCAGAGTTGTGTTCAAATAACTTTATAACAGCTTTGAAAACAACAAATGCAAGAATACACATTAAAGATAAAAATATTAAATGCACAAATAATGACCTATATTAGCTTTAGGTGGAGTGAAAAGGGGAAGTGATTTGTCTTCCAGGAATAAACCCTTGTACCATTTTTTTAAAAGCATAATATTAAACATATTTGGGCAAAAACTCTTAGGCTGTACAAATAAAGTAATGACAATACTGGAGGCTTGGTCTAAAGTTTATGGTGAAGAAAGACTAGTGGAAGAGTAGCAGATGATTCAGGGAACTCATAATGAAACAGAAAGACTTTCACTTCAAAGTTAATGGTTTGAATCCAGTTTAGCTTAACAACAATGAAAGTTGTAACTTCTTAGCTGTTCTGTGAATAGTCTGTGTGAAGTTAGTTCATGTATTCTAGAAATATCTACCAGGTCTCTACAGAGGTACAAACCCTTCTGCTCACTTAAAAAAACCCTCCTATTCTATATTACTGCTTAAAGATCAATCAAAAACTTGACCAAAAATACCCAAATCGTTCTTATATTGCCCCCAGACTCTGGCTCTTCTACAGCCATGGAAGGAGTAGGCTCCTAGAAGTACACTCTGAAGTCCATAAGAATACTTCCCTGCTGAGGAAAATCTCTCTATCCCCCATAACAACAGTTCTCCATCGGTTACAGGAACACAGAAAGGGAGACAATCCCTCAGATAACACGTTCCCATACCAAATGGAGGATTAGAACTAGAACCCCACGTTCCCTCACAAGTTAGCAGGAATCCAGTACAGAAAATGGAGCACTGATGTTCTGTGCTCAGAATGCCTTATTCAATCTGCACCGACTGACAATTCTGAATCCTTTTCAGGGGTCGCCCTTAAAGTGCAATGCAGCAATTTAGCCTTATAGTTACAAACACATGGCCCAGTGGCAAGGTCCCCATGGAAAAGGCAGAGTCACAAGTTTTGTCCCATCAAAAGAAGCACTGTACACCACAACTGTCATCCAAAATGTCTAGACACAGCAATGGGCCCAAACAGGTGTGTGGACAGCCAAAGGGTGATTGTAGTGTGAAGCTGCAG